GCCTTGAAACAATGCGCTGGCTGCGAAGCCGCTCGGGGCAGCCGGCTGAGACGCATCCTGTACTCGGCAGTCTGGCCTTGTGCTTTGTCCTGGGCCCCGGCGCAAATGCCCCGGGATTTATACCATGGGCCGGGCATGGAATACTCTCTCCCCCTCTCGTGCCCAGCTGCACTGACCGCGTTGGTGACGGGCGATGGCGTCACCAACGCGGGGGTTTCTGTTGCCCAGGGACTGAAACCAGACAGGGCACAAGCCCACGGCCGGGTATGGTGCCGCAACGCTCAAACCCAAGGCCGCTTCTGAGGGGCTGCCCGTTTTAGTGGGACAGGGGGCTCCTCGTTCATCGGCACGCCTCTACCAGCAAGCACAGATCCATGACCGTCCGCCGACACCGGGGCATGACCGCCAGGGCGCCCAGCCCGCCCCAGTGCCACACGCGCAGGGCACCAGACAGCCAGGTGGGCCAGGAAAGCGCGTCCCTGCTGCTGCTCTTCTCGAGGTGCTGAAATGTTCAGGGCCTGCTGTGTTACGGCATCACCCAAATCCATCACAGGCCTGACCGCAAGCCTGTGGGGGTTTGTTGTGTTTGAGGGTCTACCTCGCTGCTATCGCACAGCATGTTGGGAATTGTGTTTGTCATCCCAGGCAAATTATTTTAAAGTATCGTAGTGTACTGCACAGGGTAACCTTCAGCTAATATTCACTCAGTTGCTCATCTTCCTCTGAACTCCACTCTTCCGTCCGTTTTCAGTAAAGGCTTTGTCCTAATAGGATCGCAGTGAGCCGGAGGAAGGCAGGCACGGGGAATGTATCAGGACCGCGCCCTGGAGGGGGTGCCAGTCCCTGGCAGGGCACTCTCACACACCTGGGGCAATTTAGATACACCAGTTAAACTGGGGCTGCATGTCTTAGGATTCTGGGAAGGAAGCTGGACACACAAACTCCCCACAGAAGGTCCCCGAGTCCGGTCATGCTTCGCCCTAATGAAGTGCTACAGTGCTAACAAAGTGCAGGATTACCAGTTTTAAGAGTATAAGAGACGTTGGGGAAAACAGCACAATTTTTAAACAACTGATCATTGTGGGATGAGATCACAGATTTCATCACAAAACCGCTGACCTGATATCAAACTGATAAAATGAGACGTACGGTTTTAACTTGACATTGTCCATAGTGTCTGTCTCTCTACCAAGCTCCTGGCCCAGCTCTCCACTTCTCAACCAAACCTACTGGATTAATAGTGTCCCGCCACAGCAAATAGACTGCGTTATTCTAATGTCATATACAGGTATGAAAGAGGGATCGTCACTGAAGATTAATGTGATATTCGACCCCTGGCTGAAGATGCCTTTAAAACCTGAAGGATAGTATCATGGCTGAGGATCAGCCCCTTATAATTTTTTCCAACCACGGCGGAGGCAGTTCTGTCAGTCACATGCTGCCGACTGTGAACAAACCCTCCACTTCCCCTGCAGGTCTGAGCCTCTTCCTGCTCAAGCTCCTCTCATTTGCTTGCACTTGCCCACCAACGCAAAACCTCAGGCCTTTCCGACAGGCGTCTGCAGACACGTGCCACTTTTACACCGGACGGCTAAAATACGTTTCCTGTTTGGGACGCAGAGACGCAGACCGTTGATATAAAACATCTGTAGCGCGCTTGCAGTGCAGCTGGTAAACGACACGCAGTCTTCCACATGCCGAAACGTTGCATTTTCTTTCTTCCCTTTTCAGCAGGGAATAAACCTTTACTTGTTCCTTTGCAGCCTACACCTGCTGACGCAGCTCCCCACCTGAACTAAGACAAGCAAGGCTACCCGGGCTGGCCAGTTCTGGGACAGGAGGTTTCTTTAACAAATCAAGTGGCTGCTGTAAGTGGTGTCAGTGTTCCAGTAGGTGGCGCTATGCCCACCGGACCAGACTTTCTAAACCAGAGCCCCAGTTTTTAAGATCCCAAAAGTAGGGGTTGCAAGAGTAGGGGGTTTTCACTGAGGTGCTGCGGTTGAACTCCACCTGAGCTGGAGTTCCCTGTTATTGATTCAACTCGTGACTCACTTCCCTCCTCCTCCTCCTGACCTGCTGTGTGGTGGGAGTGCGGACACAGGACCTCCACGGTGCAACGCTGTGCAGGACGCATGCTGCTGCACTCCAGTGGTGAATGCAGTAAAGCACTTGGGGTTAAAAAGCACTCGACATAAATCACTTATGATTGGTAATAGTAATAAAATTAAATATCTACATAAACTAGCACGCTGCTTACATGAGCAATGGTAATAAAGTTCAATGGCTACATAAACTGGCATGCTGCATCAGTATAAATAATAACTCATCTTTTTAAAGTAATAATAACTGTTTCTGGAAAGAGCACTGCACATAAAAACCCAGGGATGTAAAAATTTATACTAAAGCAATTAATTTGTTCACGTTCGCTCACAGGGCTCTAGGGCTATATGACAGTAGTTAGCAGGATTTAATACAGGAAGATCTATGGAGAGGGTAGAATGGTGGTGCAGTTATTAGCATCACAGCCCTGGGGCCCTGCATGGAGGTGGGGTGGGGGGGTCTGTCTGCATGGAGTTTGCATGTTCTCCCTCTGTTCACATGGGTTTCCTCCCACAGCTCATAAAAAAAACTGGAAGGATAATTGATGACCGTGAAAGTCATTTACATGCCCTTGTGTGAGTGTGTGCGTGTCTGTGTGTCTGCCCAGCGATGGACGGGTGTCCTGTCCAGGGTGTGTGTGTGTCTGTGTGTCCTGTGATGGACTGGTGTCCTGTCCAGTGTGTGTGTGTCTGTGTGTCTGCCCAGCGATGGACAGGTGTCCTCTCTTGCGCCTGTTGCTTACTTGGATAGAGTCCGGTTGCCCTGCGACCCTGAATTGGATAAAATGGTTAGAAAATGGATGGATTTGTCGTGTCCTGTGGTTAATTTGCTGTTAATAAAGTGCCAAAGCATAAATTCAGCTTTTTTCATTCTGAAAGATATACAATACTTAATTCATGATGGGCTTTACAAATCAGCTCTTCACTTTCTCTGATTCTTTTCAGGAACAATCAATGGCTGAAAAGTATTTTGGGTTCATCATGCAATCGTTAATCTTCAATATTCATCTTGGCAAAAGTGCATTGTTTATGGCAACTTCCATGCTAATTTATTTGGGAATTTTTTGTGCTTTTCAAAAGTGTCCCATTGAACATGGAATCAGGTGGTCACCACAGTTAAAATTCACTGATGAATCACGTGGAGCCAGTGGGGAACACTAACAAGTAAGTAATAGTGCCTTTACACACTAATACGATAAAGTCCAACACAGACCAATTAGCTGGGAAAAGACAGGTCACGAGGAGTCCAAGGCACCTTCTCCACAGAGCGTGCAGTATGCTGTAATCTCTCCCAGTTGCCTCAGGATCGAGTCCTGTCAATCCGATCACTCTCGGTGCTCTCGGAGCAAAAGAGACGTGCAGTTAAGAACGTGGATTAAAGCTCAGGCGAATGGCAGGTTGGCCGAGCTAAAACGACAGAGCCCTAAGGTCCACCTGCCTCACCCAAACATCCCCCTGGCTCCTCCGAGATTTAGCAGAACAAAGCAGGGCTTTCACCACCTTCTGCCTCATCTCTGCCCTCCTCACCCTCGCTCAGCAGTCAGGTTTAGCG